AAAAAAAAAAATATGAATCATAACTGGGTGGCTGGCTTAAGATTTGGTCTTAGCACAAAGGACCGGTTCTCAAATCCGCAAAGCCGGTTTTTGAGATTTTCGTGAAACATTTTATGAGACTTTAAGAAAACGCCCAAAAATATACAAATTCCAAATTTATTTTTTAATTGGAAAATCTGCAACTCAACTCAGCTGAATTGAATAAAATTTTAAAATTTAGCCCTGATGAATTAGACTTTCATTAGAAATCTGCAATTTTGCTAAGCTGAATTTGGTTTTTACAAAGAAATCTGCAATTCAGCTTAGCTGAATTAGGTTTAAATGACGAAATCAACAAATTGGCCCAGCTGAATAGGATTTTTCTATAGGAAATATTCAATATAGACTATCTGAATTAGGTTTTTAGTATAAAATATTCAATTCAGCTCAGCTGAATTTGGTTTACATCATGAAATTTACAACTCCCTCCATATGAATAATAGTGTTTACGCGAAATCTTAAATTTAGGCTAGCTGAATTAGGTTTTTATTATAAAATCTTCAATTCAGCCTAGCTGAATTAGGTTTCCACTACGAAATATACAATTCTGCCCAGATGAATAAGAGTTTCTATATAATATGTTCATTTAGACTACCGAAATTGGGTTTCCATAAGAAAATCTGCAATTCAGCTTTGCTGAATTAGCAGTTTAAATGACGAAATCAACAAATTGGCGCTGAATTAGACTTTCTATACGAAATCTTAAATTTAGACTAGCTGAATTAGGTTTTCATTATGAAATATTCAATTCAGCTCAGCTGAATTTGAGTTTCCGTAGGAGATATTCAATTAAACTCCGCTAAATTTGGTTTTTAATGCGAAATTTTAATTTCAGCTTAGCTTAGCTGCTTACAGCATAGCTGAATTAGGTTTCCAACACGAAATCTACAATTCCGCCCGGCTAAATGGCAGTTGCTATAACAAATCTTCAATTCAGCATAACTAAATAATTCTCCTTAAAGAAAAATTCAGCTGAATATGAGTTTTGGCAGAAAAGTTGCAATTAAGCTCTCGCTGGATTAGGTTTCTATCAGGAAATATGCAATTCAGCGTAGCTGAATTAAAGTTTAAATTGAAAATGTACCATAAAGCCCATCTGAGTTCTGTGTGCGGTACTAAATCTGCATTTTAGCCAAGCTGAATTAGGTTTCCTTTAGGATATCTTCAATTTAGCCTAGCTGAATTAGGGTTTTATTAGGAAATATTCAATTTAACCTAGCTGAATTGGGGTTTCATCAGGAAGTCTTCAATTTAGGCCACCTGAATTAGGTTTCACTTAGGAAATCTTCAATTTTGCCTAGCTGAATTAGGGTTTTCCTTAGGAAATCTTCAATTTAGCCTAGATGAATTAGGTTTCCATTATGAAATCTTCAATTTAGCCTAGCAGAATTTGATTTTTATTGGGAAATTTTGAAATTACCATGTCTGAATTAGGTGTCTATTACAAAATATTAAATTTTACTAAGCTGAATTTGGTTTGATTAATTGGTGGAGTTTAATTCATTTGTGTTATTTTAATTAATTTTTTTATAATTTTAAATTCATTTTCCCTTATCACTAATTTAAATTTTTTTCTTTCCCCTCTCTTTTCAGATCTTCTTAAAAGTGAAAGCATTTCGTTTTGTTAAAAAAAATAAATATCAGTGCTTTTGAAATAATTTTAAATAGAATATTTTTTATAAAAAGAAGTTTATAAAGTGATTTTTGCCGGCAAAAAATATTAATTTTTGTTAAATAATAAAAATTTCATCGACTCATAAAAAAATTATTTTCGACCCAAAACGACGTCCTGCTGTTTTTTCTGGTATCCCAAACACCATTCGCATCTGAACAAAATAATTTTTGCGTTCCCATTTTCTTTTTTGCTGATCTTTTTGGTTAAACAATTTATGCTTAAATGGATGCAACATCAATAATCACACAAGTCGCCCGCGATGACGAACAATTAAATGTTTATCCAAATGAAAAAGGTAAGTAAAACTGATTTATTTTTAATTTTTAAAATAAAAGGTGTATTTCGAATAACAAAAGAACGTTTTAAGCTGAAATAGATTGCAGATTTTCAAAGGGGAACCTAATTTAGCAAGGGGAATTTGTGAATTCCTTCATGAAAACCAAATTCAGCTGGGCGGAATTGTGGATTTCTTAATGAAAATCTAATTGAGCTGGGCGGAATTAAAGATTACCGTATGGAAACTAAATTCAGCCAGGCTGAAATGAACATTTCCTTATGGAAACCTAATTCAGCTGGGCTGAATTGAAAATTTCCTATGGAAACTACAATTCAGCGGGTCAGAATTAAAGATTTCCTATGGAAACCCCAATTCAGCGGGATGGAAATTAAGATTTCCTACAGAGACTCCAATTCAGCGGGTCAGAATTGAAGATTTCTTTTTGAAAACCTAATTCAGCTGAGCAGAACTGAAGATTTCCCAATGAAAACCTAATTCAGCTGAGCAGAACTGAAAATTTCACAATTAAAACCCAATTCAGCTGGCATGGATTGTAGATTTCTTAACGAAAGCCTAATTCAGCTTTGATGAATTGAAGATTTCCTATAGAAATATTCATTCAGCGGGTCAAAATTGCGAATTTCTTATGGACAATCCAATTCAGCTGGTCAGAATTGAAGATTTCCTATGGAAACCCCAATTCAGCGGGATGGAAATGAAGATTTCCTATAGAATCTCCAATTCAGCGGGTCAGAATTGATGATTTCTTATTGAAAACCTAATTCAGCTGGACTGGATTGTAGATTTCTTAACAAAAGCCTAATTTAGCTGGGCAGAATTGAAGATTTCCTGTAGGAAACTTCATTCAGCGGGTCAAAATTGTAGATTTCCTATAGGAAATCCAATTCAGCAGGTCGGAATTGCAGATTTTCCAATGAAAACTTAATTCAGCTGAGCAGAACTGAAGATTTCCCAATGAACACCTAATTCAGCTGAGTTGGATTGTAGATTTCTTAACAATAGCCTAATTCAGCTGGGCAGAATGGACGATTTCCTATAGGAACCTTCATTCAGCGGGTAAAAATTGCAGATTTCCTATAGAAAATCCAATTCAGCAGGTCGGAATTGAAGATTTTCGCATGAAAACCTAATTCAGCTGAGCAGAATTGAGGATTTTCTATTTAAAACCTAATTCAGCTGAGCAGAACTGAAGATTTCCCAATGAAAACCTGGGCTGAATTGAAGATTTCCTATAAAATCTCAAATTCAGCTAGACTGAATTGAAAAATTTCTATGAAAAACCCAATTCAGCGGGTCAGAATTGGAGATTTCCTGTAGAAACCTTTATTCAGCGGGTAAAAATTACAGATTTCCCATGGAAAATCAAATTCAGCTGATCAGAATTACAGGTTTCGTAAAGAATAACTTATTCAGCTGGACGGTATTAAAAATTTTCGTATAGAAACCTTTATTCAGCGGGTAAATATTGCGAATTACCTATGGAAAACCCTATTCAGCGGGTCAGAACGGCAGATTTCCTAATGAAAACCTTATTCAGCTACGCTGAATTGCAGATTTCCTAATGAAAACCTAATTCAGCTGAGCAAAACTGAAGATTTCCTAGTGAAACCCTTATTCAGCTGGTCGAAATTGCAGATTCCGTCACGAAAACCCCAATTCCGCCAAGCTGAATTACCGAGTTTCTTAAAGATAAACTGTTACACAAAATTTCTATAACAGCACGGCGCGATGACTCATAATTTGTTTTAGTTTATATTGTTGTTTTTTATACCCCCCTCATGGCTGGTTGTTGTTTACATGTGGTGAGTTCATCATCATCCTCATCGTTATTATTATTGCCGTTATGGTCCTCCTCGCCATCATGGGGCAACTATCAATCTCAAGCCGGTTTCTTTCCCATGAAATGTAAACACACAATTTTTTTATCCAATCCAACAAAAACAATGCAATGCGACTCTATTTTAGTGAGCGTCTCTCACTGTGTGTGAGTATCTCTGTGTGTGTTTGTGTGAATGTCTTCAGTTGTCTTCTTCTTATATCATGAATTAAATTGGAATTCTGCCGTTGCTGCTGCAGCCGCTGCCATAGCTTGAAATGTTGTTGATGATTGAGCACCGTTGCTGCTGTTGTTGCTGTCACCATTTGCTGGCTGGTTGACTGACTAGCTGACCTTTATTCCATGTCGTCTTGGCTTGGCTTTTTACTGCCGGAATAAAAAATAAAACAAAAACAAACAGAATTGAACAAGAAGAATGTGAAAGTTATCATTAATTCATTCATGTACAAGTCACACAATACATGGTAGGCAGCAACAGCAGCAACAATACCAACACCAAACACCCTTTACTACTTCAACTCTCACACTCTCATGCTCTCACTCTTTCGTTCTCTTGTAATTTAACGATGATCTCTTGCAGTAATGGTTATATGTTTACTTTATGCTGAAATAATATTAAAAATAAAGTAATTTATAGGATGGCCATGCAATAACAACAATAAGAAAAGAAGAAGTAGATGTAAAAATCATGATGACCGAATTATTTCAGTTTGGAATTTTAATTAACTTTATATTTGTTTCTTATGCTGTGGATTAAAATCTCCTGCTAGACAAGAGGCATGGGATTTTTTGTTATCATAATTGGGCAAGAAAATATTAATTAATTTATTTAAAATACGACAGACAAAAAATTAACATTTTAATAAGGCAAAAAAAAAAACTTTGCTGAATAAAATTTTCCATTGGAATTTTTCAATTTCAATTTTTAGCTGAATTAGCTTTCCTAAATGAATTCATCAATTAAGTCCACTTGAAATTGAATTTTATACAAGAAATCGGCAATTCAGCCCAGCTGAATTAGCTTTCCGAAAGGAAATCTTCAATATAATCCATATGAAATTGGGTTTTACACAAGAAATCGGCAATTCAGCTCAGCTGAATAGGATTTCTATTAGGAAATCTTCAATTCTGCCCAGCTGAATTGGGGTTTTTAAAGGAAATCTCAATTTTTGAGCAGCTGTATTAGGCTTATTATAGAAAAAATTCAATTAAGTGCAGCTGAATTAGACTTTCATTAAGAAATCTTCAATTTAGCTCAGCTGAATTAGATTTTTTATTAAGAAATGTTGAATTTAGCCCCCGCTGAATTGTGTTTCCCTTAAGAGATCTCCAATTTAGCTCAGCTGAATTGTGTTTCCCTTAAGAGATCTTCAATTTAGCCTAGCTGAATTAGATTTTTATTGAGAAATCTAATATCTAGGCCAGCTGAATTAGCCTTCCCAAATTGAAATCTCCAATTCTACCCAGCTGAATAGGGTTTCCATTAGGAAATCTTCAATTTTACCCAGCTGAATGGGGGTTTTTTAAAGGAAATCGGAAATTTTGAGCAGCTGTATTAGGCTTGTTACGGAAAAAATCAATTAAGCTCAGCTGAATTAGCCTCTCATTAAGAAATCTTCAATTTAGCTCAGCTGAATTTTTTTTTGGTCCAGCTGAATTCGATTTCACTTAAAAAATCTTCAATTTAGCCAAGCTGAATTTGAGTTTCTTTAAGAAATATAGAATTTTGTCTCGCTGAATTCAATTTAATTCACCTGAATTTGATTTTTATTAAGAAATATTCAATTCTACCCAACTGAATAGGGTTTCCATTAGGAAATCTTCAATTGTGTGTAGCTGAATAAGATTTCCCATAGGAAATCTTTCATTAAATTCAGCTGAGTTAGATATCCTTTATGAAATCAGCAATTTAACGCAACTGAATTAGACTTCCTTTAATAAATCTTCAATTTAGCCCAGCTGAATTCGATTTCCCTTAGGTAATCTTCAATGTAACCCAGCTGAATTAGATTTTTATTTAGAAATCTTGTATTTAGGCCAGCTGAATTGGATTTCCCTTAAGAAATTTTTAATTCTAATCAGCTGAATAGGGTTTCCATTACGAAATCTTCAATTATACTCAGCTGAATATAGGAAATCTTCTATTAAACTCAGCTGAATTATGTTTGCTTTATGAAATCCGCTATTTAACAGAACTGAATTAGACTTCCTTTAAAAAATCTTCAATTTAGCCCAGCTGAATTTGATTTCCCTTAAGAAATCTTCAATTTAACCCAGCTGAATTAGTTTTTTATTTAGAAATTTTGTATCTAAGCCTTCTGAATTCGATTTCCATTGGGAAATGTTCAATTCTACTTAGCTGAATATGGTTTCCTTTAGGAAATCTTCAATTCAGGCCAGATGAATTAGGTTTCCTTTAGGAAATATTCAATTCAGCCCAGCTGAATTAGGTGTCCTATAGGAAATCTTCAATTCAGCTTGGCTGAATTCGCTTTCCGAAATCTTCAATTTAGCCCAGGTGAATTGGGTTTCCATTCGAAAATCTTGAATTTAGCCCAGCTGAATTTGGATTCCTAAAGGAATGTTTCAATTCACCTTAGCTGAATTAGTTTTCCAACATAAAATCTTCAATTTAGCCCAGCTGAATTGGGTTTCCATTCGAAAATCTTGAATTTAGTCCAGCTGAATTAGGTTTCCTAAAGGAATTTTTCAATTCAGCTCAGCTGAATTCGTTTTCCTATACGAAATCTTCAATTTAGCCCAGCTGAATTGGGTTTCAATTCGAAAATCTTGAATTTAGCTCAGCTGAATTAGATTTTCATTAGATAATCTTCAATTCAGCTTAGCTGAATTAGTTTTCCTACTCAAAATCTTCAATTTAGCCCAGCTGAATTAGGTTTCCTTTAGGAAATCCTCAATTCCACCTCGCTGAATTAAGTTTTTATTGAAAAATTTTCAACGCAGCCCCGCTAAATAGCTTCTTCTGTAGAACAAATTTTATTTTTGCCTAGCTGAATTAGGTATACTTAAGTAAATCTTTAAGATAGGCCTGCTGAATTAGGTTTTCTTTAGGAAATTCTCAATCCAGCCTTGCAGTATTAACTTTTCTGTTGGAAATCGTTAATTCAGCCTTGCTGAATTAGGTTTCCTATAGGAAATA